GGTATATAGTTTTCTCCAGGCAGCATTTTACCATGCAGTAGCTCTGTATATGGGAGCTATTGCATATAATTAATTGGATTTAAGTTATTTTGAAAGTCCGCCTCATTTGGAGGAAATAAAAAGTCATTCCGGCCGATTATGCCATTTTTACGTGAAAGTTTCTATATAAATTCTAAAGCTTCTATAGAAATTTCAAAGCCTTGAATTTGTTGGGTTTTTTCTATGGAATATAAACCTAACATCTTAAATTAATTCCACATAAGCTTGTTGACTTATCCCCATGCAAAAAAAAAAAAAAAAAAAAAAGAAAAAAATCTTAAGTCACACTTCAATCCCATATAACGGGCATTTACAAAGAAATTCCCAATTCCTTAAAACGTTAATATGTGTGTAAAAAGTATTTCAAATCAAATTTGGCAAGGGGACATGACTGTCGGTACAAAGAGACACGCCACATATCCATCTTATGCAGCCATTTAAATAGCAATCACATCCAACTACAAATCCATTCAACGAACCTACCAACCAATCTAGCCAATCAGCTATCCATCCATTTTTCTATAATTACGTGTCCAACATGCACAATTATTATTGAAAAGAAAACATTATTTAATGATTAAGTCATAGACAGTAGCAGCAACAGCAGCGCCAAGTGCCAACAGTAACAACAAAGTTGATAAACCATTCAGCCGTAAATGGTGGGTAGGGGGGAATATCCCTCTCCCTATTTTCGCATTTTTGTGCTGATATAAGTTTTCGATATTTTATCAATCAATAAATTGGAAACATTACAAAAATAAATAATTCGCAACTTTTTTTTGTGCAACAACTATTTTCAGTTTTTTTTCGCTTCGTATCGTTTTGTTTTATTTGCACAAAGTTAGGCTTGACACGTATCCGACAAATTGTAATTGAATTCGTAATGAAGAAAATAAGCCAATATTACACACACATATTGTATTTGAATGGGTGACTGTGTGTGTGTGCGTCTGTGTTTACTTGGCATACAAATGTTCTATGAAGTGACAAAAAAGCCGGAAAGTAGTTATGTCGACGTATATTTGTCAAATAGAAATGAAATGAATCCATCATCGTTGTCGTCGTCGTTATCCACGGATCATCCGCAGCAAATCCATGCCACAGAATGGCATCATCCAGGAATTTCATATATGCCAGTAACATGGAATGCCAGCCACAATTTACTTGATGTTGATGGAGGTGGATGAAGGTGGTTGTTGGTGCTGTTGCACGTGTTATGCATTCATATTCCAAGTCTTGCGGTATTGAATGCAAAATGCATAGCTCCTGCCATCATCGTGATCCATCCATCCATCCACCTCCAATCCAATCAAATGAAATGCGTCAATTGCTGTTGTTGTCTTGTGTCATTTTGCAAATAGCTCAGCCTTACACCTAAGTACCTGTTAATACTGTTGTCTGTAATCTGTAATCGTAATCGTTTGAGTCCCCCAATAAAGATGAGACATTGGCATTATACAAACGCCTATGATTGCCGTCGTCTAGCAAAGTGATAAATGTTTAAGGAAAAAAAACAAATTGCGGAGATTGTGTGATAGAATTTAAACAATGTTAGGGAGCTTTGATTTGATGTCCATCATTTTAAGACCTTGAAAGGAATGCATTCGGAATTAGAAGTATATAGTGATTAAATCTAACAGGGCGAAGGAAAAGTTTCCGGCACTGACACATCGTTAGCACTATTAGAATTAAATCTAAATTATTCGTAGGTAGCCCTAACCTTTGAAAACTGGAGTACAGCTGCCTTAGGCTATTTATGGAAAACGTAGAACTCGGTCGTGGTGGGGTAAAAATATTAATATGTACAAAGCTTGAATCAAATCGAATACTTCGGTTCACATTAGACTGAGAAATTCTCAAAATTAATAATTGTATAACGGTGGTCAAGTCAGATGCAACATATCAGTGTTAAGTTTTTTTCAATATTTATAACCTTTTGTTGATCTATGTTTGGAAAAATATTATTATGCGTAAAGTTTGGACCAATTCGAATACTGATTGAAGAATTCGAATTTTAATATTTAAAAAAGGATATATATTGGGGGGGCGATTCCCTTCGTGTCCATCAAACACATGGACAGACATTTTTAAATCGGCTCAGCATATTCTAAAACGGATAGGGTCTGAAGACATATGTGGTGTTAAACTGATGAGGTGTGGACCTATATTAAGAATTTTGTGCAGGGGGTGCTAGTTCAAAATATTGACCCTCTGAGAACCCGAAATACAACATTTCGTCCATTTCGTTTGGGAAATGCAGCTGGGATATCGAAATACTAAAAATGTCGATTGGTTCATATAGAGAAGATATGTGAAAAAGTTGGTCTATATTGGAGAGGAAAACATGTATCCTCTGGGAAGCGGAAATTACTTATTATAGACGCAAAAATACCTCAAATCAGGTTTGACAGTTATGTTGAGCCTATACCAAAACGTGAACCTGTGGTGCATATTTTCTGGTTGGAGCTCAATTACCCTTTGAGATTTGGAATTTTAAATTTAAATTCACTTCGATATGAACATGTGGTCTGCACCGTAAATGTAATATGGAAAATTCTACCCGAAATTCCAAATGACAGCCACTTTGGTTTCATATTTCTGCCAAGACCTTTAAAATCCTTAAAATCTGAGAAGACATGGTCCCTATGGGGTCTAGGAGAAGACATGGTCTTCTCATATCTATTAAAATATCAAGGTACTGTCCGGTGACTGGTTTCAAAATGCGTTCAGAATTCTACTACTACGGGAAAATTCTACGACGACGTTCTTTCCTCTCATAGAACCCTAAATTCCAGATTTCACCCACTTTGGTTCGCATTTTCGGCCAAGTCTTTTAAAATCCCTTTATGACCTCTTATAACCTGATTTTCAAATTTGCACTAAGTATGGAAAGCTTTTAACATACCAAAACTAGGGTGTGAATTGATATGGATTCTTAAATAATATTTTCTGTGAGTAGTTCCATCACCCTCTGAGAACCTGAATTTACACATTACAGCTTATGTTTCTGTTGAAAAAAGAGGTCGGACACTCAATGTACTTAAAATGAAGTGGGACATTTGTATGAGGACTATTTTAAAACATAGATCTCACTGTGAATAGAAAATTACATCCGCAACGGTCGCAAAATTGCGCCCAGGTCCTTCAAAATGTTTTTTTTTTAATCTGTGAACCCGGTCAGATCCTCTCTGGTCAGATCCTCCGGAAATACCAAACATAGTCCTTTATTTGGGAGCTTTGTTGAAATATGGGCCCATATTAGACATGATCAACGAGTAATATTTTCAGTCAGAAGCTCTAACACCCTCTGAGAACCCGAATTTCCGAATTACAGCCACATAGGTTAGAAAAAGCGCATACGACTCTCTATGTACCTGAACGCGAGGTATAACGTTTGTATGCGGTTCATGTAAAAAAATAGATCTGTCTGTGAATCTGAAATTGAAAATTACATCCACTTAGGTAGCATATGTTGCCAGGATCTTCAAAATTTCTAGACCGAGACGAAATATCAAAAGGTAGGTCTTGGCAACACTACATTATAACTTTTTGCGAGGATGGGTTTTGCACTCTGTGAACCGGAAAAAAATGGGCCAGACCCTTCGAAAATACCTAAAATAGGGCGGGTTCTTCATTCGATAATTTAAAATCGATTGGAAAATGTGACCAAGTCCTTAAAAATTTACTGTAAATGGACCTGTATTGGAAAATTTCTCAGAGACGACTTTGGAGCGGGTTATTATATGGAAGTTATCATAAATTCTGGACCTTCAAAATACCAACAATTTGAGCGGACTTCTACACTGTGAAAAGTTTCTGCAGGCAACCCTATTAATCTAAAAGGAACCCGAACTTACAGTCACTTCATTTTAAGATGCGACTTGGACGGGATGTCGAGGATGTGAAGCCATGTCGAAACATAAACCCATCCAATTTTTTAACTAAAACCTTCCAAGCACCTAAAATCTGTTGGGGAAGTTTTTTTGGGATTCATTTCAAAATATGATCCTCTATGCATTTCTTCCTTGCGAGTAGGTATATTATTCTTATGATAAACCGATAATATCTATTTGCTGCAGGTTTCGTTGATAAATATTGCGACCATGACCATAAAAATAATACAAGTAAGGTAGAACTATAATGTGAGCTTATATTGTTCCATTCGAAAATAATCTCAGTATTCTTCTTAAAATATGAAAAATTGGTCCAGTACTTCGTATGAAGTTTGTGTCAAAAAATATAAATTTTTGCTCGATATTTGAGAAAACATTGACCTAGATTTTTGAGAGGAGATTTTTTTCCCAATATATATTTTTTGGCTAGGAGCTTCAAAATGTCAAAAAATGGGACGGGGACTTTATATGGAAATCAAGATATCGAGCGGACTAATATATGAAGGTCATATCAAAAAAAGAACCGAAAACCTTCGAACCTATAATAGTATGACCTTGATACATGCAGGCCATGCCAAAATAGCTTTAAATGTACCTAAAACCTTCTAATTTATTTGCATTTTTGTCAGGACCTTGTGGGGCCCTTACACGTAAGAAATGGACATCAAAAAATATGGACTTAAAACTTTCTAACCTACAGAATTTGTTGTAGATTACCTTCTGCACCCTCTAATTTTCAAAAATTGGAGAGGATTATTATATGAAAATCATCTTAAATTATGGACCTTCAAAATACCAAAAATTGAGGCGGACTACTATATGCAGATCATCTCAAAATATGGCCTTAAAACCTATATATAAATGTTTTTGGAAATTTCGTTCAGCAATTTCTTGTGTAAAACATTGACCCATACATTTTTTTGGAGAGGAAATCTTTATTGGAAATTTCGACCAGGAACTTCAAAATACCTTTTTTGGGGGATATGACAAAACATGTATCTTTGAAATATTCAAATTTGATTTTTTTTAAATAATTATTTAATTTTTGTTTAATTTTTTTCTTTTCAGTACCCCGAATTGAATCCCATGATTATGCGTCGCTTCAGCGAACCTGGTGATGTGGAACGTGCCTTTGAATTGGTTCACAAATCACATGGTCTCGAGCAGACACGGTTTTTGGCCAAGAAACATTGTATTGAGGCGATACGATTGGCTCAGGAATTGACCGAATCACCCTATCAGAAGGGTTTGCAGGTTGTTGCGGATTTAGTTATTAATCGTATGAAATAATACTTAGGGCTAATTTAATGCAAAAAAAAAAACATACAATCAAAAAATCATGTTCATAACAAACAAACACACACAACATAACAATCCATAAAACAACAACAACACCCTTTTGTGGCATGTTTTAGAAAAAAAGAAGAAGAAACTTAAACATAAATAAAGGGAAGAAAGGGTAATTTAAAACAAAAATAAATTTATATAATAAAGAATTATAAATAAAAAATAATGGGAATGCAATAATTTATATAAAAAACGATCTTTTTATACATACAAATATATAGAAATTTAAATAAAAAAAATTTAATGTAAAATTTCAAAAAAATAATAATAAATTTTAATTGTAATTGTAAAAACCATAACATCTACATATTTAAAAAAATTAAATTTGCAAAAAATAAAGAAGCTATACACTATTTTATTGATATTTTTCAATGTCAGTAATTTATTGTATATTATTAAATATGTTTGTATGTATGTTATACATAATAACAATTTATTTTTTTAGATGATAAGTTTTCCTTTGTTGACATTATTTTTTTTTTAATTGTAAATAATTTATAAACAAATTACAAATAAAAGCGAAAAAAGTCCCCCCTAAGGAAATTAAATTGAAAAAGAAAAATGAGAACACTTTAAATAAAATGTATTTAAAAACAAATATTTTTTTGTTATATACATATATACCTAAATGTACATACATATAAGGCGAGTATGAATGGATGCCAAGTAACTATTACAAAAAATAAATATATATGTGTAAACATTTGTTATTTAAATACAACGAAACAAAAAATGAAAACTAATAATTCAACACCGACACACCTGTATAATAAACTTTGCAACAATATTTTTTTATTTAAAGAACAAAAAAAAAAGGATAAAAAAGAAATACGAGTAATAATAAATAAATGATAACGCAAATAAAATGTACATCTCCCCAATCACCACAATAACAACAACAAATTTATAGTCAATACATTTTAATGATATTATTTAATAAATTAAATAAAAAACGAATAAAATTTATATAAAAAATGCAAAACATATTATGTTAATTATTTTTATTATAAAAAACCACTCACATGCAAAAACAAATTTTCATAAAATAAACCAATTGTTGTTCATATGTACCTATTTTTCCTTAACTTTTCTTTTTTGTTATTGATTTTTTTTTATTATTTTTTTAATGCTGAAATGTTATATCATTGATAATGTTTATATAGGATAAATATATAAGAACAAAAAAAAAACACACACACACACAAATTTGTTAAATTATATTTAAATGTATTTTTTGTAGTCACTAGAGATTTTTTCCAATGCAGAAAAACTAAAACACAACAACAACAATGCATTCAGTACAAGCTCAATTTAGACCAAAACAATTTGAAATTTTTTAAATTTAATTATAATGGAGAATGTCTGTCCCATTTGATGTAGAGCCCAGAAAAAAAAAACTTATAAACAATTCAAGAATTTTTCCAAAAAAGTAGTTTCTGTTAAAAAATTGATAAATGTCTCTTCCCCTTGATTTAGAACCTAGAAAAAAATGTTTAAAAATATTTAAATAAATAAAAAATGTTGATAAAAAAATGTTGATTTGATTGGGTTACTATCAAACCAAATGAGCTCAACATTTTTCCATGTTTATATTCAAACAATTGTTTAAGGGTACCCCCCCCCATATTCTAGGTTTCAGGAAAACGATTTTTTACGGTCAGCCTTATGGCTAATTAGGGTGTATACACGTTGATACGGCAAAATGTGCCTCATCAAAATATTGGTTGTTTTGACTATTTTGGTGTCGATTTACAAATGCCCGTCCGTCTGGCGTGCTTGTTTGCATGATAACTCTCGAAGGGCGTAACCGATTTCATCCAAACGTTGCACATCGTAATATTTTTTTTTCCAAATTTAGTTCAAGCTCGAAGATGGTCAAATTTGCGCTAAATATTTATTTTATATCATACGAATGGACAATCCGATTTGAACCAAATTTTGCACAACCTATTATCTTTACCCAGAAATTCGTCTAAATTTCAAATTGAAAATGGGAAGTTTCCTTTAATTGAGTCAAAGCTATACCATGTTACCAGCAATTCTTCAAAACTAGTACTTCTTATATACTGAAAAATAATCTCTAGAAAAAATCCACCCTTCAAACATTGATGAACAAATTTTACCACTACAAAATCCCTTTCTTCTATTCCTTTTTCTATTAGAAGTAGGTATCCTTTTTTATCAGAAGGGAAACTTCATCTTCTTCTAACAGAGGAGTACCTCCTTCCTTTATAAGAATCGATTCTTTATAAGAATAAGATTCTTCTATCAGAAGTAGTTCGTCTTTTCTATCAGATAAAGGTATCCCTCCTATTCCATCAGAAGTAGGTCTTCTTTTCTATCAGAAGTTCGTCTTCTTTTCTATCAGAATTATGCCTCACTTTGTATCTGAAGTATTACTCATTTTCTATCAGAAGTAGGTCTCCTTTTGTCAAATGAAGCAGGTATACTTTTCTATCAGAAGAAGATTTGTTTTTCTATCAGAAGTATGTGACCTTTGCTATCAGCGTTTGTTCTCTTTTTCTATCAGAAGAGGGTCCAATTCTTCTATCAGAAGAAATTCTTCTTCTATCAGAATAGGTCTCCTTTTCTATCAGCAGTTGGTCATCTTCTTCTATTATTTTTCATATGTACCTATTTTTCCTTAACTTTTCTTTTTTGTTATTGATTTTTTTTTATTATTTTTTTAATGCTGAAATGTTATATCATTGATAATGTTTATATAGGATAAATATATAAGAACAAAAAAAAAACACACACACACACAAATTTGTTAAATTATATTTAAATGTATTTTTTGTAGTCACTAGAGATTTTTTCCAATGCAGAAAAACTAAAACACAACAACAACAATGCATTCAGTACAAGCTCAATTTAGACCAAAACAATTTGAAATTTTTTAAATTTAATTATAATGGAGAATGTCTGTCCCATTTGATGTAGAGCCCAGAAAAAAAAACTTATAAACAATTCAAGAATTTTTCCAAAAAAGTAGTTTCTGTTAAAAAATTGATAAATGTCTCTTCCCCTTGATTTAGAACCTAGAAAAAAATGTTTAAAAATATTTAAATAAATAAAAAATGTTGATAAAAAAATGTTGATTTGATTGGGTTACTATCAAACCAAATGAGCTCAACATTTTTCCATGTTTATATTCAAACAATTGTTTAAGGGTACCCCCCCCCATATTCTAGGTTTCAGGAAAACGATTTTTTACGGTCAGCCTTATGGCTAATTAGGGTGTATACACGTTGATACGGCAAAATGTGCCTCATCAAAATATTGGTTGTTTTGACTATTTTGGTGTCGATTTACAAATGCCCGTCCGTCTGGCGTGCTTGTTTGCATGATAACTCTCGAAGGGCGTAACCGATTTCATCCAAACGTTGCACATCGTAATATTTTTTTTTCCAAATTTAGTTCAAGCTCGAAGATGGTCAAATTTGCGCTAAATATTTATTTTATATCATACGAATGGACAATCCGATTTGAACCAAATTTTGCACAACCTATTATCTTTACCCAGAAATTCGTCTAAATTTCAAATTGAAAATGGGAAGTTTCCTTTAATTGAGTCAAAGCTATACCATGTTACCAGCAATTCTTCAAAACTAGTACTTCTTATATACTGAAAAATAATCTCTAGAAAAAATCCACCCTTCAAACATTGATGAACAAATTTTACCACTACAAAATCCCTTTCTTCTATTCCTTTTTCTATTAGAAGTAGGTATCCTTTTTTATCAGAAGGGAAACTTCATCTTCTTCTAACAGAGGAGTACCTCCTTCCTTTATAAGAATCGATTCTTTATAAGAATAAGATTCTTCTATCAGAAGTAGTTCGTCTTTTCTATCAGATAAAGGTATCCCTCCTATTCCATCAGAAGTAGGTCTTCTTTTCTATCAGAAGTTCGTCTTCTTTTCGAATTGAATTTTACAGAAACAGGTCATAAATACAAGCGGTGTAGTTGTAACGGAAGGACTACTCAGACCCTCCTTCTTATCGAAGATTGATAATGGTGTGCCATTTTATATTGAAATCCTTCCCTCTGAAAAGAAACAAGAATGTCGGAAATGTAGTTATGGTCTTGTTAATCCTTGAACCTATTGATATCGTGCATATCAGTTTTCATATCCAACTTCCTCCAAATAACTATATCTCCTCTGAAAACTTATTTCTTGGAAATGCCAATACTAAAAAATGTTATAGAAATAATAAATGAGCATGGTTTTTTGTCAAACCCGCCGTCAGCGCCATCTATGATTCATGATCGGGCAATAAGTTTTTCAAGCCCAACATTCTCCAAACAACTATGTCCCCTTGATAAGATTCATTTATAAATAAACAAAACATGATAAAATAGAAACTCACACTTATTAAGGATATACCTTGTTGTTGAGCTTGCATTGTTTTCTAATATTTTCTTCCTCTATTATATTTATTCTTGCGTATTAACACTTTTATTTTATCTATATTTTTTTTAAATTATCTTCTCTTATTTATTAAAATCGTTATTTTCCGTTTTTTTAATTTTTCGATATATTTTTAGAAAAGACATACATATTGTTTGTAATTTAGAATTGTTAAAAATTGCTTGTTTTTATTATTAAAATTTGGCAATAGAAAATTAATTTGCCATTGTTATTTATTAACATTTTTATTTTATTTTCGACAAAATGTTTTTTTTAACTATTTTATTTTATCTTATTTTATTTCTTGTCATCTATATTGTTTTCATAAAGTACCTTAACACAAAACAACAATAAGAAATCAGAACTAAATAAAACAACAAATTCTTTTTTGGATATCTATATATTTTTTAAGACAACAACAAAAAACAAAAACGATTTAGAATTTAGAAGTAATAAATAATAATTGCTGATGATTTGATATATTTAAATAAAGTGAAAAAAGTACAATTGAAATGTGTTTTCTTTTTATGGTTATTCAAAATAGGGAAAACAGGAAAAACTAGAGCATGAGCAAATCCAGAT